GATCCTCCTACCTCTGTGTCCTGGGTACTGGGACAACTGGAATGTGCCACCATGCCTGAATTGCATATATATATGTAATATTATATATATATATTCGCATCTGCTGAATGCCAATAAAACATGAGCAGTGAGCTGGGAATGGACATCATCAGTAGAGTCCTTGCTCAGCATATCTTGGGTTGTATCCTTAGTATAGAAAGGAAGGAAGGAAGGAAGGAAGGAAGGAAGGAAGGAAGGAAGGAAAAGTGTATCTTTTCTATAAGTTGTTCACATTTTATTTGGTTAGAGATGAATAATGACTTTTAAAAAAAAAAAGACTGTAGGTTATAGCTGGCATGGTGATGATACATACCTTTTAAATCTCAGCACTCAAAGGGCAGAGGCAGGAGGATCTCTGTGAGTTCAAGGTCAGCCTGGTCTACAAACCAATTCTCGGCCAGTTAACTGTAGGGTTACAGTGCTTCCTTAATGCTTAGAACTGGCTGAGATAGTACATTCAACTCCTCATTTGAGCAATCATAAACCTGGCTATGGCCAAGCAACTGGGTTAGACCAGGCCCAGCTCCTCTTCTAATGTGAATATTGGTATGAGGTGCAAGAAAATACGGCCAATTTTTCTAATGACATAAAACTCCTGCATAGGAACTGAAGAAATGGCTTGGTATTTAACAGCACAGTTTGTTCTTCCAGAGGACTGGGGTTCAGTTTTCAGTACCCATACAGTGGTTAACAGCTGTCTGTAACTCCAGTTCCAGAGGATCCAATACCTTCTTCTGATCTCCTTAAGCACTTCCTGCACAAGTGCAGAGACACAGATGCAAGCAAAATACCCAAGCACGTAAAATAAAGATAAAGATAAAAAGAAAAACTTGCTCCTCAATATTTAAAAATGTCTATCCGATTGACTAATCCTTACAGTCCTGGTCCTTTTCATACATAAATTTGCTAATAAACATCTGCCTTTGTAATTTCAGTCACATCGGAGCCAGATGCTGAGCCAAATCACGCTTGCCCACATCACTGTCTTCATTTCAGTTTCTCAGTATTCGTGTGCGCTGCAAACTCCTCCATTTTGCTTTAGCCACTACAGGACTTTCAAGAGGGCTCTTTGCTCCCATTTAAAGTTGAGATCCTTTGAATAGGATCTGGTAAGGTGTGAGTGCACTGGGAAGTGAGTTCTAAGGACGGATGCTGCCGCTCTGAACATTCTGTCAGAAGGGAAAATGACACTTTAAGAGGGAAGGAGAGTGTAATGGCCCACAATGCATAAGGAGACCTCGCACAGGTGATTGAAAACTCCAGTGTACTTCAAACTCAATGGCTTACTCTTAATTTTAAATTCTCCTCATGCTGAAGTGGGCCCAAGAGTAGAATACGTTTTATTTATTTGAAAGCTACAACATTAGATCTTACATAAACTAGCATTTGTGTCTGCACTGAATTTTGTCCTGAGATTTCGACTGGTGCACGTTATTTATGTGTGTGTGCTCTGTATGTACACAGGTATGTTGGAGCACTTTCGTGTGTGTGTGTGTGTGTGTGTGTGTGTGTGTGTGCACAGCTGGAGGACAGCTCCAAGTATCTTCCTCTTAGTTTTGAGAAAAGGTCTCTTGTTGAACTTGGAACTCGCTAATTAGCATAAATGGGCAGGACCCTGGGGACAAGCCCTGGGACCGGCTTCAACCCCAGTGCCCATGGTTGCACAAGAAGCGCTTTTGCCCTCTGAGCTATTTCGCCAGCTCTCCTTTTAAAAAGAGGATTGGGGCTGGTGATACGGCTCAGTGAGTAGAAGTGCTTACAGCCAGGCTTGATGAGTCGATCCCCAAATCCCACAAAGCGGCAGGAACTGAACTGACTTCTGAGACTTGTTCTATACTTTCCACACAAGGACAGTAGTGCATACACACACACACACACACACACACACTCACACACACAAGTATTAGAAGAGGACCTGCCAGAACAAAACTGATATGTCAGTTTGTCACGAACCATAAATGATTAACCTAACCATTTCAGTTCAGCCTGGAACTCACTTTGTAACCCAGACTAGCCTAGAACTCACAGCAATCTTCTTGCCTCGACCTCTCAGTGCTGGGATTACAGATGGGAGCCATGCTATTCAGCTATATCTTACTGTTTAAAAATAAAATTGAAAAACGAAACAAACACGAAAATCTGTTTATGTGCTGAGACTACAGAAATAACTGCTTCTTTATTAAATTTTTCCACACTTTGTGACTTCCCAACCTGTGACAGGTTCAAGCTAATATCTGGTAGACATGTTTCTTCCTTCATGAGTCACAAGGGTTAAGTAGAGAAGAACTATGATCATGTATTTTCTCTGAGGGCCTATCTGCCCCTAAGTCCTCTCTCTATACCTCATGTGATCTCAGTTTGACAGGCTCAAACTTTACATGTGACAAACACACACACACACACACACACACACATACATAAATACACATGTGTGTGTGTGTTAAAGAACCGTGTATGGAAAGAAAGTTGGTGTCAAAGCAGAGGCCACCTCCTAGAGAGAGTATATTGTCTTATATCCCTGAGTTTTGATTATACAACTAGGATCTAATAAATTTTGTGATGATTAAGCACAAATGACTGTCTTTTCACCTTCTTAGACTTGGGAAAAATTACACACAGTTATGGGTTCCCTCCTCCTTTCGTCCTTTTAATGTTTTTAGGGTAATGTGTTCCACTATCCATTGCTTTTCCTCTGAAGGCACTTGAAGTGTGTCTCAGGCCTGCTCACATTCCCCTTGATGCCTGAAGGGAGTAGTCCTTTGGGTCAGAGCCCCAGCAGAACCCTGGTTTTCTTCACACCACCCCTGCCCCCTCCCCTGCCTTCTCACTGAACCTCTGGACTGGAGTCTAGGTTCACACAGAAAGCAAAAGCAGCTACAATCCACTCTAGGCAGTCTTACAGCTGCTGGGGACTGGCGGAACTTCCTGTTTAACAAATGTGGTCTGATTTATCAAGCTTACTCATTAGTCTTTAAATCCGTGGTATTTTGGATATTTATATATTTTTGGAAAATGTGTAAACAGCATTTGAAAATACAGCATTCCTGGCCACCCTTCACTTGTCCAAAGCGCCTTTTGAACACACTCAGCTGTGCAGCAGAGCCTCTGGGAAGCCTGGGCAGATGTGGGAAGCCAGGGCAGATGTGGAAAACCCTTGTGTGGTTTGCATCACAGCTGGCCATGAAGACTAGTTGAGTTTAACTGGCTACTGGGTTTGCAAGCTTAGAAAAATATCTTTTAACATTAAAACTATAAAGAATCCTTTCAACCACACAGAACATAACACACACACACACACACACACACTCTGCTCTTACCACCCAGGTAATGCATGTTAAGATTGGAACAACATAAGAAAATAAAATTAAGCTAGAACTTTCAGCTTATGAGAATCAAGCATAAGGCAGGCTGAAGGAGGGGGAAGATTGGAGACGCCCCCAACCTTAGTGGAAACAAAAAAGTGGTAAGAAGAACCACAAAGACTCTGCACTTAACAATTGTCTGTGACCATTTTGGCCAGTGGCAAGCATGTATTCACTTCAGAATTGCCTCATGGCTTTCCCTTAGGTAAATAATAGGAACTGTGTTGAAGACCCCAGTCATCAGTGAGGGTTTAGGTATGCTCGACTGCTGCCATTATCGGGGAAGTATCAGAGAAGGAACGTTAGTATGCAGCCAGTTTAAAACTACTTGCCACCTGAGAGCTCATGCAAGAGTATTTCTTAAGGTCAGGAGTTCAAGAGCAGCCTGCATAGTAATAGTCAAATTCTGGCTCCAACAAAATAACAACCTACAAAAGAAACACACTTTTGCATGAACACAGATGGTTCAAAAGTCAAGTTTTGAGAGAAATAATGGAAAAAGGGAGAAAGAAGCAAGTTTTAACAATTAATGAGATCTAGGTTTCAGTTTTATGCGAGGTTTTGGCACATTCCTCTGTTATCCGTAGTACTAAGAAGAATCAATGCTTCACTAGAAGTACAGTTGGTTTTGAATGTTTGAGTGTGTGTGTGTGTGTGTGTGTGTGTGTGTAATGATGTTAAACCAGGGAATGGATGTGTAATCTCCCACCTTCTCTTGTCCCTGTCTCCCTCCTCCTCCTCTTTCTCCTCCTCCTCCTCCTCTTTCTCCTCCTCC